AAGCAATCCCACTCCTGGGTATATATCCTAGAGATATAAGAGCAGTGACGTGAATAGCATATGCACACCCATGTTCATTGCAGCATTATTCACAATAGCAAAAAGATGGTAACAACCAGAGTGCCCATCAGTGGACGAATGGATAAACAAATTGTAGTACATAGATACAATGGAACACTATGTCATGATAAAGAATAATAATGAGTCCATGAAACATCTTCTAACATGGAAGAAACTGGAGTACATTATGCTGAGTGAAATAAGTCAAATACAAAAGGACAAACATTGCATGATACCTGTCTTAGGCTGGGTTCTCTAGAGAAGCAAAACCAGTGAAACGTACACACATACACAGAGATTTATATCAAGGAAATGGCTGAAGCTGTTGTAGAGGCTGGAAAGTTCCAAGTCCGTGGGTCAGGCTGAGGGTTTCTCCTGACTCATGTAGCTGCAGGGGATAGCGAACCCAAATCAGCAGGTCAGATGGTAGCTGCTGGCTCATGGCTGAGAAGGCTGATGAATCTAAAATTGGCAGGTAAGATGGCAAGCTGCTAGTCCAAGTCCTGAGAAATGGAGGTCAGATGCTGACAAGCTGAATGCAGGAATCCAGGGCAGAGCAAAAGCCAGTGAGTTTCGCTAGAAAGTCCAAATACATTGGATGCAGGCCACACCTCCAGGAAACTCCCTTTCAACTGATTAGCTACTCACAACAGATCCCATCATGGAAGTGACACATCATATCAGATCTCATCATGGAGGTGATTACATCATTATACAACTGCCAGACTGTATCATAATTGCCAAACCACTGAGAATCATGGCCCAGCCAAGTTGACACACATGTTGATGATCACAGTCCACCCCTTGTCAACTTGGCACCTGTACACATCTCCTTAAACCATACATAATCTATGAATAAAGACAATTACAAAGTCATACTTACGCCTAACATGATACAACTAACATGCGTACAACTGAAAATGCACTAGACCTGTTTACATTTTATAAGTGATGAAAACAAACGTATTTGACACACACATACAAGGAAGAAATACTCATAACAATTAGAGTCCTCGTTTCTACAACTGGTCACGCGATCGTAACTGGTATCTAGAACTACCTTCTTCCACCACCCATTCTGTATTCCCTTTGCCCTCAGCAAGCACCTCACCTGGTCATGGTTCTTTGCCTGGTGGGGTGGCCCAAACCTTCATTCCTGAAGGGCCTGGGCCATTAGTAATCATGTTGAAATTAGGTTGCTGTATTTTTCCATTGACTGTAATCACAGGGCATGGTAGTACTAAGAGACACCCTAAGGGATCTCCTGCATCCCAGATACCTCCGTTGTGTAATACCAACCTGATTTCCTCTTGGTAATCAGAATCAATCACATTAGCCAATATGGTAACTCCCTTCTTTGTCTATTGATCCAGAGGCATAAGGAGTCCAAAGTGGCCAGGTGGCATTCTTAATTTCCAGTTCAATGGAATCAGTGATGTGTCTCCAGGTGGAAGCATTCCTCCGTTTGGAACTAAGACCTCTAGATCCACAGAGCCTAGGGTCGCATGGACAGGAAGGAAAAATTTCTTGCATTTGGGTCACTAAGGGTAATTAATAGTGAGCGGTGCCACTCCTATTTACACCCCTTGATTCCTGGATTCATGAATCCTACCTATGGGAGAAACAGCATCGTATATTGGATGCTGGTTTAGAGCATATACAGGAAAACATTGCCCCAACTCTGCAAGGTATTGCTACCTATCTGGCACTGTAATTGTGTCTTTAGAAGGCCATTCCATTGTTCTATCAATCCAGCTGCTTCAGGATGATGGGTAACATGGTAAGACCAGTGAATTCCATGAGCATGGGCCCATTGCTGCACTTCATTTTCTGTGAAGCAAGTCCCTTGAACCGAAGTGATGCTGTGTGGGGTACCACAATGGTGGATAAGGCATTCTGTAAATTCATGGATGATAGTTTTGGCAGAAGCATTGCATGCAGGGAAGGCACATTCATATCCTGAACAAGTGTCAATTCCAGTTAGAACGATTTTGTTTCTCTAGAACCATTCCTGGTACCAAATGTCTTAGGCTGTATTCTCTGGAGAAGCAAAAGCAGTGAAATGTCTATATATATGTCTATATATATATATTATATATATATATATATATATATACGACTACGCCACCAGGGTTAAGAGCTACAGCTGCTAACCAAAAGGTTGGTAGTTTGAATCCACCACCTGCTCCTTGGAAACTCTCTGGGGCAGTTCTACTCTGTCCTGTAGGGATGCTATGAGTCAGAATCAACTCAACAGCAACAGGTTTACTAGATAGTAGACACATTTTAATTCTGGTGATGGGAAAGGCAGTACACAATGTGGGGGAAGTCAGTACAATGTGACCAAGGTAAATGAAGACACTGAGAGGTATGAAAGAATAAAGGACGACTACAGTAAATGCTATAACATATACAATTTTGCAACAAAAGTAATAAGCAAAAAATATGTAAGTGGTTACATAGGTAGATATATATGCTATATGGGGGTCGGAAGGCATATGGGAGTACATACGTGTTCATATATAGGTATATTTGCGGGCATATATATACTTGTTTGTATGTGCTGCATATATATTCATACATACAATAAAGCACATGGTGGGGGCACAGTTATGGAAACTTCCTAGACATACCTAAACACCTCATGGGATTGATTTACTGGGTTTGAAGGCTCAGGACCATAATCTTGTGGGAAAACTAGGCCAATTGGCATAACTTAATTCCTAAAGGAAACATTCTCCATCCTAGTTTGATGAGTAGTGTCTGGGGTCTTAAAAATCTTGTGAGTGGTCATTTAAGATACAACTATTGGTGTCTTCCCATCTGGAGCAAAGAGAGTGTCTTAATTATCTTGTGCTGCTGTAACAGAACTACTACAAGTGGATGGCTTTAACAAAGAGAAATTTATTCTATCACAGTCTAGGAGGCTAGAAGTCCCAATTCAGGGTGCCAGCTCCAGGGGAAAGCTTTCTCTCTCCGTCAGTTCTGGGTGAAGGTCTTTGTCATCAATCTTCCCTGGTCAAGGAGCTTCTCAGCACAGGGACCCCCGGTCCAAAGGGCGCAGTATTCTCCTAGTGCTTGTTTCTTGGCGGTCTGAAGTCCCCTTGTCTCTCTGCTCACTTCTCTCTTTTATATCTCAAAAGAGATTGATTTAAGACACAACCTAATCTTGTAGTTTGAGTCCTGCATCATTAACATAACTGCCTGTAATCCCACCTCACTAACATCATAGAGATAGGATTTACAACACATAGGAAAATCACATCAGATGACAAAATGGTGAACAATCACACAGTGCTGGAAATCATGGCCAAGCCAAGTTGACACACATTTTTTGGGGGACACGATTCAATCCATAGCAGACAGTGGAGGAAACTGAAGACTCAATGAAGAAATTAGTCCACAGGACTAATGGCCCTCATGAACCACAGCCTCTTCTAGCCTGAGACCAGAAGAACTGGATGGTGCCACCTCCGACTTTTCTGACCCGGCACACCATAGAAGGTCCCGTTAGAATGGGAGAAAAATGCAGTACAAAAATTCATAAGAAAAGACCAGACTTGCTGGACTGATGGAGCCCTGGTGGTGCAGTGGTTAAGAGCTCAGCTGCTAACCGAAAGGTCGGCAGTTCAAATCCACCAGCCACTCCTTGGAAATCCTATGGGGCAGTTCTACTGTGTCCTATAGGGCTGCTGTGAGTCAGAATCCACTCGACGGCAACAGGTTTGGTTTTTTTGGGTTTTTTTACTGGGCTGATAGAGACTAGAGGAACCCCCGAGACTATCGCCCTAAAATATCCTTTTAACCTAGAACTGAAGCTAGTCCCAGAGGTCACCTTTCAACCAAAAAATAGATTGACCTATTAAATAAACAAGAACACCCGTGAGGAATGTGCTCCTTTAGACAATAAACTATATGAGACCAAACAGTCAACATTTACCCAAAAGCAAGGATGATAAGGCAAGGAGGGGCAGAGAAACTGAAGGGATGGGAAGGGGGAGGCAGGGCGGAAATCATGAAACTGCTGACATATTACGGGGAATGTAACCAATGTCACAGAACAATTTGTGCATCAATTGTTGAATGGGAATCTAATTTGCTGTGTAAACTGTCATGTAAAACACAAGACAATATTTTAAAAAATCAAGTTAAACATTCTGATTTCTTCAGAAATTTCCAGGGGATATCCAAGCTGAGATCTATGTACATTTGATCGATGTTAGTCCTGTTTTTTTCTTTCTTGGAAATTATATTAAATACCAAAAATCTGGGATGGGAACCACTACTCTAGAAAATATCAATATGAACTTCAGTGAATTTTCTTTCCCACAAGCCCCAGTGCTTAAAAAGAGGCAAGGCAACCTAATGCCTCATTTTTTAAAAAACAGTAGGTTAAGTGACAAGTGTTCAGTAAATGGGAGAGAGTTCTCTGGCATCTAAGACATTTCGTTAGAGGATAAATGTCACAGCGGTTTCAATCAATCATTACCAAGAAGCTGGATTGAAAATACCACTGACTGCTGAAATATATATTACAACATAGTGCCTCAAAGTAGTATTACCATACCCGTCATGATTTAATCATTGCTTAATCTGAATCCATTTTACATTGCAGATTTACTCTATATTTGCCAAAACTGAATTTAGTATCATTTTAGTCATTTGATAAAATATCTCTAATTTCCTCTGTCCCTTTGCATAACATTCAATCTAAATGATTTAGTATCAGACACTCACATCACTGATACTACTGCGTGTGCTTGACAAAATCATCTATAATCCAAGGAGCACCGGAAAAAATGAGAACAGGAAAACTAAAAGTATCCTGTGAGACTTGACGTGGCCTTGGGAGAACATGGGGTGTCTGTGAGTTGCACCCTAAGTAAACCGTGGTGGATTTGATGTTCTTTTGCTTTTTTTCCCTCCTTTTCCCCTTCCAGTGAAATCAGATGAGTTACAGACAATCAAGAAAGAATTAACCCAGATCAAAACTAAAATTGACTCCTTGCTAGGGCGCCTGGAGAAGATTGAGAAGCAGCAGAAGGCAGAGGCAGGTAAGCGAAAAGCATCTGTGGCCACAGACATGTTGGAATTAAACCAGAGAAGCACCCTCAATCACAGAGACAGCGCAGGGCAAGGGGGATACTGAATGAGTTTAACAGAGTTTAATACAGATATGTGGAACAAGGCTTTAAGCCCAGAGTTGCAATGATGGGATATGATTTCTTTCCTTTCAGAGGACATGAACCGATTTTTCTAAGATTCAGACTAAAAAAAAGTATTTTGATGAAAATAATAAGTAATTATTGAATCACAATTGAAAGTTTACAGATCAATATCAAGCAACCTTTAAGAAAATAAAACAATTAATGGAATAATGGTATCAGGTTAAAATAATATTCATGTTTCATTAACTACGGCAAAATTTAATGGATCACAAACCGTTATTACAAAGCCCAACTCCTGTCCTTGCTGTCACCCTGCAAAACTTCAGAACCCAGTTTCAGGAACCTCACACCAACAGCATGCTTCTGGCCATCCACTGGCCAAGTTATTTGATTATATCCTTTTACAGCTTAATGGCCTCTCTCCTTTCAATTATCAGCCTTGACCCGAGTTCCATTATATTGCAATTATGACCTCTTCAAGTGGTTACAGATATTTTTAAAATCCTAGAATATGAGAACTGGGAGAAGCTTAGAGATGAGTTAGTCCACAGGTTGAAAACTGTGTTCTACAAGGCCTTAGGTACCTCAGGGGCCTCCTTGGAGAATATGAGGATGGAGACTGTAGAAGATCCAGTAGGTAGGTCAACACCTGCCTTCTCCAAACCTCACCCTTGCTCTGACCAGTGTAGATCTATATCTGTTTTATGTATTGCAGTTCAACATAAGACTTAATCTGCTGAGTTTAAATTCTTAAAAAAATTTAGAAATACAATTTTGAAAGCTATCGAACAAATCCAAACTCCTCATTTCACAGATGAAAAAACAAAAGGTCAAGGAGGTGAACTGATTTTTCTATAGCCGTATAACTTGTGATAAATCTTGGGCTCAAACCCAGTTCCTGTGATTGAATCCAATGCCTTTTCCAGTGTATAGCTTTAATCTCAAGATTCCAGTCAGGACCAGGTCACAGGATTTTACTAAAGGGAGGCAACCTGGGTAACTTCTAACTATGAGAACCAGCTGAATTCTGGGGCCTCTGAGTGATAACCTGAGTCAACCTGTTTGTTGACTGCATCACTGTGGTGAGGACTAGATTTGTCTTCTGGTAGAGAACCATGTAGAGCTCAAGAATGAAAGAAGCCAGATGTGAGGTGGTGGTATAGTATACTGGGTAGGAGAGATACCAAGCTTAAGTACAAGTCTTCACACCCCACTTACTTAGCCTCAGTTTTCTCTCTTATAAATGATGTTAGTAATGGCTACCTCAGAAGATTCTTCCAAAAAATGATTAAAGTAGCATATGTAATTATATAGCACAGTAAATAGCACTGAGTAATGGTTCAAAATGGTAGCTGTCTGGGGTTGGTAGCAACACAAACCTATATAGGCAAATGAACGTTTCCCATTTCCCTTCTACTTTCATAGAGCCGATTTTTAAAAAACACAAGGCATGTTCCCAGCACATGGTAAGTTCTGATTAAAATTTGTTAAATTGATGTGGATGAGAAATGATAGATCAAATGGAATTATCTCTATAAAAAATTTCTATTACAAATACATTTTCTACCAAGAAAAGATATGCTGCCTATACCTCTTAATGGAGAAATTTAGATTTTAGAAAGGTTATTATGTGCTGTCTTATGGCACTAATCTAAAATGTTGCTGTAACTGAAATATTCTGTGATGTTGTTTAAATCAATATTTTCCTTTGAGGAACTTCTGTGAAATTCATTATTATGTAAAACAACCCTTATAGCAAAGGACTTTGATAACCAATTTGCACTTCAGTTTAAAGGATTATGGAGAACTCATTTAAATATAAATCACCTCAAAGAGAAAAATGTGATCCTTATTCCATCATATCATACCTTTCAGTTTGCTGCAATGAATAATGCCTTCCACATATCTTCTTGGAAGATCATCTATAAACATAATACTAAAATTCAAAGCTTTTATTTTCTTCTCATGAAAGGCTGTCACCTTATTTTTTGCATGTTTAAACTTTCCCAGTCACAAGACAGTTACTTTTTAAATCATAGACTTATTTCCTTGATATTTATGCCATTCTTGCTTTAACATGTTAGGAAGAAAATGGAATTATTTAATTTGCAACTTCAGTCTCTTAGTAATTGTCTCCTGAATAGTATTCATATTTATAGAGATAAGATGATCTTTTCTTACACTTTTCTATATTTTATTTATGAAAGGAATTCAGGATCGTATGAGAAGAGTCAACACTACATTATGGGAAGTGGAGAAATTTTATTAAAATTCATTTTGAAATATTTATTGCCTCCTTATGAAATTTAAAGGACACCCCTTTTAATGCTTAATTGGTTGCAAGCTGTTTATTGGCTAGCTAGCATTTACTCTTCATTATTCTTTCTTTCCCAATGTTTTATTAGTCTTTTGATAATAAAAGTTTCCGGGTACAGTGGGAGTGGCAGGAAGGAGAGGCAGGATCTCGAACAAAAAGTGGGAGAAGCCACATAACATGGAGATTGTTCTGAGTTCAAGTTTCATATAATTTTTTTTCTTTTTTTTTTTGAAGTGAGTTCCCAAGCTATCAAGAATAATCACAGTAAAATAGTCTCTAAACTTTAAACTACTTTTAATAGATGTTTGTATGGTATCTTGTCTCTTCCATTGAGACTGTAAACTTCCTAAGAACTAGATTGTACCTTCTCTTCCGTTTTTAACTCTCCTCAGCATCATGTACTACAGTCAGGGCACGATTTAGCAAGTCATTCAGCTTCTCTGGGTCTCAAGCCCCTCAAATGTAAACGAAAGGAATGAATTATGGCCTCAAATGTATGTTACAGCTTTTAAAATTATGATTTGTGTGAATTTTTTTCCTTTGAATAACTCAAATAATACAACATTTTGGGAGGATATAGAGATTACACAGGTTATCGAAAATAACAAATACACTTAACATCAGTTTAGCGTACAGTTGTTTCTCATTTGAATTTGATTCTTTTAAGTTAGTCCCATATAAATTGCCACATGTAAATAGCACAAGTTGTACGTGGTTTTCACAATGATGTTAAATGACCAAAAAAGGTGAAAGGGGCAAGAAAGAAAAGTAAAGACTGAATATCATACAATGGGCACAATTACTCCATGAGTAACTATATTTTTAAAATAATTCAAATTTAAAGTGTAGACTCTGAAGTGAAAAAGGCAGTTAAACATTGTGTTAGTTATCTAGCACTGCTATAACAGAAATACCACAAGTGGATGGCTTTAACAAAGAGATTTATCCTCTCACAGTTTAGGAGGCTAGAAGTCCGAATTCAGGGTGCCAGCTCCAGGGGAAGTCTTCCTCACTCTGTCGGCTCTGAGGGAAAGTCCTTGTCATCAATCTTCCCTGGTTGAAGAGCTTCTCAGCACAGGGACCCCGGGTCCATAGGACACACTATTCTCCTGTCTCTTGTTTCTTGGTGGTATGAGGTTCCCCTGTCTCTCTAAAAAGAGATTGATTTAAGACACAACCAAATCTTGTAGATTGAGTCCTGCCTCATTAACATAACTGCCTCTAATTCTGTGTCTTAAAATTATAGAGGTAGGATTTACAACATATAGGAAAATCACATCAGATTACAAAATGGTGGACTATCACACAAGGCGGCAATCATGTCCTAGCCAAGTTGACACACGTCTTGAGGGACACTATTCAATCCACAACAGACATTATTAAGCTCAACTTTATTCTCAGTGGCATGCCTGATATATGACCAGCCAGTGCTTCCTTGGACAATTCCAATGATAATATCCAATATTAGACCTAAGCAATAGAGAGGTCATGAACTGGAGTGCCATAGGATATATTCAGCCTCTAAAAATATTTGATATAAGACAGAATTTTTTAATTAAATTATCTGTTAAAGAATGGAATATTAAAAATCAAAATACATGACTTCTCTTGAAAAATTGAAATTTGTCAATATTACTGCCCACTTTACACATGGCATGCACTTTTCTATTTGCTAATATCTTCATCCACCCACATGAGACGTTTATGTTATTTACTTGGTTCCTGTTCACATTTGTACTTGAGACAACTATTGTAGGTTCTTCCTTACACTAAGCCAGAATTTACCTTACTTTCACTTTAGTTCCTTTATCCTTTTTATGTCTTCTGAAACGAAGCTTATGTCTAATCCCTTGTGAATCAAATGGTCAATTAAATATTTAAAGATACTTATAATATTCTCACCCCTCCAAACCCCTTGAACAGTCATATAATCAGCCCATGCATAATCGATTTAGCTGTATTTAAACTTTGATCATAGCATTTTTGAAGCCTTCTTTTCTTTAGATAAATACCAAAAATTCCTTCAGCTGCTTCTCGTGTAACTTAGTTTTATATTTTGAACCATTGTCATATCTCTTCTCTGGGCATTCTATTGTTTGTCAACTGCCAATTGTCATACTCGGAATGCAAAAGATAGCTCCAGATATAACCTGACTGCTGCGGCCTACGACTTGACCGCTATTTCTGTTCTGAAAACTTACTACTATCATTGATGGTTAAGACTGAGTTGGTGATGATTCCAGTTAAAGATGATGAATGAAACACATGAATTAAGGTCTGCTGTTTCCTGAAACTGCATTAAAATAATGGTGGAGTTACAAATAAATAAATAAACCCCCAGGGATAAAGAGAATGGGGAAAAATTATAAAAGCTGGACAAAGATGCAAAAGTGTACCTGACAACACATTCAAGAAATCTGAATTCAATTTTAACCACAGAACTGAAAGGCTCAGGAATTGAATGTATCAGATTCCTCTGGGAGAAGGGGCATAAATGGGCTGAAAGTCTGCTTAAGAAATTATTAGATTTCTACATCTGCATTCTCCAATGTGTAGCCAAGGAACCATC